ACAACCCTCTGGAGGCTGCCCCACTTCTCATAGTGCAATCCTCGGCCCTTCTCCCCCCCACCCCAGACCATCCATCCTCTTACTTAAGCAGCTTGTAGTAGGCAAAGCGGAACACCTCCTGTAGAAGGACAGACACGGCAGCACCAAAAATCAGGAGGCCGTACTGGAGCCGGGAATCTGACGGGTCAGTCACATGGACCAAGATGAACCAGACCACAGAGGCCAAGAGCAGAGAGACCAGCCAGAAAAATGCTCTGTGGGAAGAAGAGGGCAATCAGAAAGGCAAGGGAAGAGGCAGCCGGAGAAATCAAGTAGGGGAACCAACCAAGGCTGCAGCATGAAAAGTGGAAGTTAGACTTCCGGATGGAAGACAGGGAGACAGAGAGCAGGCAGATCGCTGTCTCCACCAAGGGAGTCTAGACGCAGGGGAATGGGATAAAATCTGATTAAAGAGTCTTCAGGGCGCTGAGAGTCAGAGCACAGTAGCGCCAGGTATCCACTCCTGGATCCTCCCTTAGGGCCGCCCGAGGTCACCACAGCCCCCTCCCGAGTCTTGGCCTTGAGCCTCCTCTGACGTCGCCGGAAGAAGGATAGGAAGAATCTGTGCGATCCCTGGAAGGCGGAAACCAACTGCGGGAAAGGGCGAGTCACCCAAACCCCTGCCTCGACCCTTCCCAATCTTCGCCTGTCTCCCCCCCACTCAGGCGGCCAGGCTCGCCCCAGTATCTCCAGCCCCTTCCGGATCTCTCTTCTGCGCCCGCCTGCGTCTCCCCGACCCTTACTCACCCTGCGACCAGAATGATGACACGAAGCGGGTCCCCGGCCACAGTGATCAAGAAAAGCGCAAAAGCCGGGCCGAAAGCGACAAAAGTGCATCCGAAAAACACTGCGGCCCCCATTGCTTGGCAGCTGGGGGCGGAGCGGAGGCCTGGCCCAGGGAGGCGAATGGGAGGAGCACGCCAGCTAGGGAGTCCGCGTGGGGTGGCGACGCGACCCCGTAAGGGGCGCGGTGCAATGTCACCCCCGAACCCCGGGGATGGGGAAGGGGGGGTCACCTAAAATCCCAAATACAGGTCCGCGCGACTTCCTCTACGGAAGCCGAGAAGGGGACAAACCCCGGCCGCAGCCGGGTGGCCACCTCCCATTTAATCCCCACCTCGAAAGCCAATGGAGAATCGGAGGGGGCGGGGCTGCGGGTGGGGCGGGGCTACAGGGCGGGGCGGGAGCCGCACGGCCTGCTGGGAGTTGTAGTCCTGTGCTTCAAAGCCCGGGACCTTGGCCCTGGGAGTGGCTCAAACCGGTTAAAGGGAGTTGAGCTGGGTTGGGCCGGTTCGGGGTTCGGGTTCCTGGGTTCGGTTGGGCCTTGGATGCGGATTCCCTTCGTTATTTTGTGGAGAAGGGAGGTAGCAATCCTGCCTCTACTTGAAGAGCTGCAGAGGGAGGAAGATCCTGTTGGAACCTAAGGGACAAATACGAAGAAAGCACAGGATAGAGGCTCCGGGGAGATAGGGACGGGTATTGTTCTTACTTGAATGAGAGGAAATGGGCTAGAGCTACTGCCTAAGAGATGAAGGTTAGATTTAAAAGTAGGAGCTCTTTGAACAGGCTAGTATAGGAAACGTGCATTAGGTATTATCGCTAATGAAACCTTCATCTGTAATGACAAGAGAATCAGCACGAAGGAAGGGGAGCCTGGAGAGCAATACTGGGAAAGAGGTTAGAGGGGATTCGGAGTTAAAATAGTTTGTTAAAAGCAACAAGAGCGATGGAGTTGAAGGAACACGAGCCTACCCTCCTCCCAGGCCAAAGGACTCAATTCCTTTTATATCGTATTTCCTCTATTTATTTTCTGAAAATGAACTTCGATGGTGTCTTTTTCTCAGACTAGGGGAGGCGGAGCAAAGTAAGCAAGTTCTGGTAGAAGAGGGTACCCTACCCTTATTTACATAGGAGTGAGGTTAGCCCTTAGGAAAGATGTTTCCGCAAAGATTGGTACCAGGATGGAGAGTGAGGGAATCAGGAATATTGTTTATGAGAGAGCAATCAAAGTATGGAAAAACTATAGAAGTTGTTCAAACAGAACCACGCTTCCTTTCCTTCTTGGAAGTATTTTACGTTCTAACACATACGTGTATATCCACATACATATTTTCCATTTTTTTTCCAGGAAATTCTGGAAAGAAGCTGAAGAAGTAGATTGTACAGATTTACACTGAAAGTCACCAAGCAAATCCTCTCCCAATAAGGTGGAGAGGAGCATCTTGGCCTATGCTCAAGACTCTGGGTCTTGCTTCTGAGCCTAAGCTGGCCGAGTTAGGGGATAAGACAACTCATCTCAATTCACCTTGGAGCTGTTACCACGGCATCTTCTGACAGATAAGAGCGGGCGCCAAACCTATCTTGTTCATGGGTGGTGGTTCCACAGGGACTTGCATTGTACCTGACTCACTGTAGATATCAAAAGATATTTATTAGCTCCCTTAAAAAAGATAACAATTGTATTCTTTTCTCATTTCCTTGCCTGTGAACCCTGAATTGCCTAACAGACTAGGCCTAGCACACCGTGCCTAGCACGTATGTTACTAAATGTTTCTGAATTGAAGTCAATGAAAATGGGAAACATAAAAACAGAGAAAAGGATAAGACAAACTCTACCCCATAGTCTGGGATGAAAGGAACACGCCAAGTGACTGAAAGCGAGAG